AATTTCAGACTATGTCCATGGGGACGCTGGGCCAGTGGGAAGGGAGGGCAGACATAGGGCTGAAGGTTTCACTGGACAGTGAGGACACCTAAGCATTCTGCAGAAGGAATGTGTGAGAAGTGGGCAAGCTCAGCCTGCTGCATTGCTTGGTTATAGCTGGCATCTCTTTCCTGATTACTTAGCAGAAATCTGTTGGCTTTGTTTTATTAAGAGTTAGGACATCCCAGTGTCCTAACCCATAGGGGTTTCTCTTCTCTCCTTCTACATTAGCAGAAGGATTCTCTATATTAAATATTTAAAATTGAACTCTACAAAGGAGCTGTGATTGGGTAGTAATGGGAGGGATAGAAGATCGATAGCTGAGGAGGATAGGACTTGTGGCAGGTGTGACACAGGTCAGAGGATGCATGTTTTCTCTGGGATGTGGCTTCTCATGCTTTTATCAACTGGAACCCACCAAACCCACCCAGATGTTCCCATGGTACCAACCAGTCCACCTACTCTGAGGATAGTGACTCAGGCTTTTTGTGGCAGCTGAAATCTGTTCTCATTGGTCTCAAACACTCAAAAGAGAATGTTTCCCCTGTCCTTCATTATGCATGCCAAAATAATGAGGATAGTCAGCTCTAAGCAAGTGTTTGTGGTCTACAATGGTGCTTCAGCGAGGCATTTTTATTATTGTTCCAAGTCAGGGTCTCAGTCTTTCAGGCTGACCTGGAACTACCTATAGAGACCTACATACGACCTTAAACTCATGGCGATGCTTTTGCCTCAGCCTCTTGAGTAATGAGATTACAGGTATGAGTCACCAAACACTGCTTTAGAGAATATTAAATATCACCTTCCTTTAATTTTCTTTCTCTGTCTTGAAGTGTTGGTACACTTGCTTTGAGTTTTCTCTTAGAAAATATTCACTTCTTTTCAATAAGAAACAGCTATAAATGCCACACTCCATTAGAGAAATTTTGGATGGTGTCCCCAGCTACTGACTTCATTCTTTGGGGACTCCAGGTCTCTGCAAGGGTTGGGAAAGGTCTATACTTTAGGACCTCAGTCTCAAGTAGACCAGAGATGTCAGAACTGAGATTGTTCAGCTCTGGCCATGGATTCTGTCACTGGGGAGAAGATGGAAGTAATAACAGCTAACATTGCTCTGTTTGTAGACAGAGATTAAACCTATCAGTATTTTCAGGCATGGGTACACAGCCTTACTAGTAGAAGGGAAACTATTTCTCTCATATATATCCTATTATTCTAACTTATTTTGTATTTGCAGAATATATCTCCAATTACTTGTATGTAATGAAAAAGGAAACAGTAAAAAAAGTTTTATAAAGACATGAGAAATGATCTAGGATTTGGTTGACCAACAGCCTGCCCCTGGGAGTCCGATGACCCCATTCAAAATGCTGGATAAATAAAGGCTGAAGCTTTCTCTTCCCTACATGAACTCTCATTTCAATAAGCCTCTCCTATCACCTATTTTTGATAACTGGCTTAGCTACTCCTCTCATTTTCACTTCTTGAATAGTGTTTCTCTTTGACTCTACTCTGAAAACACATATGAATTTTTAAATAAGCTCCTCAGCTGGTCAGTTTCTGGAAGGATGCTTCTGCAGGGTGACCTGATTACTCTGGCTATCTGGGTCAGCAGTTTGGGGAGGGAGCTTCTGAGTCATGGCTAATATCTTCTAACATGTTGCCGTTCTGAATATAATTTATTGTTCCTGGTATGGCTCTGGGTGTGTTATATCTTTAGTACTTTCAATGCTGAAGTACTAGGATGCTATCTCTCTCAGCTACTCCTTGAGGGAGTAGGAGGCTTCCAGTGACTGGGGGGGTGAGTTTTCAGGGACATTGCATCTGCTGCCAGCATCATTCATACCCTGTAGAGCTGAACTCTTTCTGTCTGGATAACACTCACACACTTGGATTGAATGTTTGTGCATTAGAAAGGGACACCATGTTCACAATGAGAGTCTACCCCATGAGGATCTTTTCCAGTCCTTTGGATGAAACAACTCTGCTTTAGGCTTTTGGAAAGAGTAGCTCATTCCTAGCTTCTGGGTAACAACATAACTCTACATTTGCAGTATGTTTCTGAGAAGAATTGAGTGATGTATCCCTATTCTACATCCACACATGCACACAGTTATATATACACATGTGTATTTGTATGTATCTCCAGTGAAGGATTTGTATTCAGAAAATATAAAGAACTATAAGCCAACTGAGCATAATACACAACCTAATAAAGAATAGATAAAATATTTATATAGGCATAGTGTGAAAAGGAAGTATCCAAATGTTTTTAAGGAAATGATAAGATGCTTATCATAATTTCTTTATTGTGTAAAATATCATTACATATCATCAAAGGCTAAAACTGCTAAAAAAAAAAAAAGTCTGGCTATATCAAACGCTGACTTGAATAGAGAGCACCAGGACTCTACCAGATTGCAGGAAGAAAGGGAAATTAGAGAAATCACTTTGGAGAACCATTGGGAATTATACACCAAATTGTTCTGTATTGAGATATACACCTGTGATCTCTGGGGTAAGTAGGGCATCCAATGCTATGTCTCTGAAATGCTCTCCTCCATTCCCAAGGTTCTTGCCAAGTAAAAGACTATGAGAGCATGCCAAGACTGGAATATCCAGATGAAGCCAACCCACTCACCATAAATACCAGAAATCAAGGCATTGTCATGGTCTGCAAAGGCAATAAGCTTTCCTGCACCTATGCTTGGTCATTGGCTCTTTGGAAGCTGGTGATGATGCTCTCTTTAGGCGGTCTGGCTTATAAAACTCCTTCCTCTATAGTAAACAGTCCAGGACTGAGCACTGTGGGGAGGACAGGTGCTTTTTTGTCCAGCCAGTCACCACTGGTGAACTTTCCGACGTGTGCCATTGGCCACATACCGTCTTCATGGACCTTCTGTATAGCAGTACTGTCAGCCCATGCATGTGCCTCATGGATTTTCCTTGTTAGTAAGTTTTCCTTACTTCACACCTTGTCTTAGAGTATTGTTTTCGGTCTCCTACAGCCTGTCTCACTGCCTTATCACACTACAGACATGACAATACTCAGGGAAACGGTTGTCTCATGTGAACCAGATGTGTCCATCTGGGGATTGCTTATGGTACTAAGACTGGGAACAGCCTAGATGTCTATTGTGGTATATTTTCTGTAAGTATGAAGGCTGTTGGAGGTCATGGGACAGAACTGGGCATTAGCTGTGAGGGAATGGAACATCATTAAAGGTTTGGGCAGTAGAAAAGTAATGAAAGCCTATGTCAGGAAGTTACATCTGGTTGTGGTCTATAGAATTCACACAGTAACATCGAACAGTCTCTGTAAGTAAAAAATATGAAGCTATCCAGATATTGAAGTAGCTTTTTCTCACTAAATGTCCAAGCGTGGTGAGATATCTTCCCACTCCAAATAATACCTAGCCACTAAATGTGTTCCTTACCTTACCTATTGAAACCCTTATTTCCTACAAAGAATTTCATTGCTTAATGTGGATTGATAGTAGCTTATTTTTGAAAAGTATGTTAGAAATGACTTCAGCAATTCATATTTTCAACTGTATAGTTTACAGCAGAGAAACTTTGTTGCCATTTTGCTGTTTGGCTTGATTGACAATTTCAGCTAATAAAGCTATACTTGTTGAGGTTTGGGGCTACTTTGGTTCTAAAATTAGAAATTGTGAATACAAAAGGCCTACTTCTTTCATTCCCATTGAATTACTTATTGAGTACCAAAGTTAATATTGTTTTAAAAAAATTTTATTTATTTAATTAATTAATATACTACTAGTATAATCCTTTAGCTTAAGCCTACTTTACAATATTTATCTGGAAAATATATAATATATTAGTGTGTGTGTGTGTGTGTGTGTATGAATGTTTGCTTGTATGTGGGTACATGTTTATATGTAGATATGCATACATGTGGAGACCAGAAGTCAACTTGGTTATAATTCCTCAGGTGCTATCTGCCTTATTTTTTGAGACATGGTCTCTTACTAGGACCTAGAGCTCATGGATTAGGGTAGGATGGCTGGCTAGTGATCTGTGGGATCTGCATGTCTTCACCTTCCTGCCTCTGGGATTGCAAGTGCATGCCATCATACTCGGCTTTTATTTATTTATTTTTAACATGGGTGCTAGAGATTGAACTCAAGTCCTCATGAGACTAATAACTTCAAACAGATTGGTTATTGTGTGAGAATAAAAAGAACAAAATTATATTTGCTTTACTAGTAGGATTTCTTTATTAGTCATAGATAATCATACATTACATGCAAGAAAAATCACAATACAGCCCCAAATGTTTATAGATTCTGGAACATCAATAGTAACACAGTGCAAGAGTTTACAAATTGTTTTTTTACATACAACTTCCATTCCTATTGACTAATAGGAATGCTGCAAAAAAAAATTCAGCAGTGTTCTTAATGCTTGATATACTAGTCAATCCTTTGATCTGTGTAGGAGTCATCTGTGTAGGATCAGTTTTGCAAAAGCTACATTTGGCTATCTTTACCTACCTGGAAATGTGTACCAAGTAAAGAATGATAGCTTAGTCTTTTCTGCAAGTGAGGGTGTTTATTTTTGTAATAATAACATTATTGTAGGGCCAACACACTAGTGTAAACAAAAAACCCCAAACATTAAAGGAAGGACACTCAGAAAAGAATGCTGTATGCTTTTGACCATTCCTCTGTGAATCATTACAACCAACCATGTGTGTACATCTCTGGCAGGGGCAAAGAGGGCACAGATTCCCAGGAAATACTTTTGAAAGGCAAGTATGTGTGGAGTGTGTGTGTGTGTGTGTGTGTGTGTGTGTGTGTGTGTGTGTGTGTTAGGGAGGCTGTTAAAAACAATTCAGCTAGACAGCATTCTGTGTTCATTGCTATACCCATGAATTTCACACACAGTTTTGGAAGATATGATTATGGTTTCATTTACACGGATACAAAAATCTGCAAAGCATGAACTATGTCACACTTCTTCCTTTTTTTTTTAAATTATTTTGTGTGCTACTTGCTGGCATTTCTCCATAACTTAAAATGTTCCATTGTCATAGAAGCTGACCTTATATGCTGAGCAGCAGGATTCCAGATTCACTTCACCCTTGAACTTTGAGGAAAGGGGTCAGTTCCAGTCTCTTGTACCTCAGAATGCAAGGAAGAGATGCATGAGTGGGAGGCTCAATGGATGCTCTGCTTAGAGTAGACTCAGGTCTATGGTCCAAAGGACACTTTTCTGCCTCCACTTCTGCAGCTGGAGAGAAATGCAGCTCCCAGGCAATGCTCTACTTAAAATATTTAAACTTAATGACGTGAGCATCTAACCATATTCATTACTATATTTTGATTTTTTTCTCCGCTGAAGCATTATGAGTTATTTTTAAACACTGTCATTGGTTACCAGAATGTCAAATGTAATTAAAACTATGAAGTACGTCTTTTTTTTTTTCTAGCAGAAATTGTCTTTGAATATCAAGAATGCATCATTGGTATTATAAAAAATTCAATGACAAGCAACACACCTGATGTTTAGACTTACGCTTTTCCTTAAAAAAAGGAAACTTATTTATTTGTTACATTGGATAGCTATTGTTCAGTATATTTTTAGAAAGCTCCATTTGCAAACTTATTTACTTATATTCCATGTAACATAATGAGATGAAAACAAGACCACTTCACATTTCAAATTGTAACTATTAATTAGGTGAAAAGCTCAGGGAATGTATCACCAAGTGGAAATTGCCATTTCATTTTTGATTCTAATTAAATTAAAATATCATTATCTACCTGTTTATATATTTCTTTTGTATTGGTAGATATGTTCCTAAAGGCATATAGAGTTCCATATAATGGCATTGATAACATTATGATCCCTATATAATTGCCACATAATAGGGATATGTGTGTATACATATATACATATTAACATCTCTAATTCAGTTCTGATCAGTTTTTGTGAATGATTTTCTCAAACTGTGTACTAAAATTCAAATGGTATTTCTGTGTCCAGGAATCTCCAACATCATATGATGTTGACATGAAGTTGTTACACTTTAAAGTATTTATAAAGTATTATAAAAGACAGAACCAGCTGTAAGCTCCTAGGCTCTTCTACCATGACAGAGTCAAACTGACTTTTGTATATAGAGCCAATCTCATACTGCTTTCCTAATTTTCTCTATAGAGATGTCTGAATACCAAGCAAATGCAAACCAGAAAGAATGCTTCTGGTTTAAAATTTATGTCAGAAATAGCCTTGCCATTCTCTGGCAGTTCCCACTCACTGGATTCCTCTTTGCTCTCCTTCAGTTCTGTAGGTAGCTCTTTTCTTCATGGTGTCTGCGGTTGCTGGCTTCCAGCTGTCTCTGAGAAGCCAGGCTAGTCAGAGAATAGCCAGCAGGCTGTTTCCTCTAGCTTCAGAATCAATAAGAAAACAGTAACCTAATTGATCTCTCAATTGTGTACTGAAAGCTTCAGTCTTACCATTAGGAAATCAGCACTCTAAAAGATACCCTAGTTTTTATAAGCACACCCCTGCTGTCTTTTCCTACAGATCACCACAATGGGTGGTCCCAGTGCCTAGATTTTACAGGAATTGTTGTGTTGTGCATTATAGGAGAGAAAGCATCCACTACTGGGAATTGTTTTGTATAATTTGGTTTATAGATTATTTAAAATATTTGTTTGGAAAGAAGGCATCCATTATAAAGGTGTGTAGGTATACATCATTGGGATTAGTGTCATTTCCCTTTGCTTCCTTCAATAAATGGATAAAGTTTATAAAAACAGTCAAAAACAACCTGGTAGGGTAGCTCTTGCCCATAACCCTGGCATTCAGGAAGCTGAGGCAGAAGGATCGCCAAGAGTTCAAGGTTAACCTAGAATACTGACTGAGTGTCAGGATAACCTGGAATGCAGAGTGAGACCCTATCTCAAAAAAACATAAAGAACAAAAACCAAACAAAACCTCTCCCAACAATGAACAAAACCCAAAATCTAAAGCCACCAACAGCAGTTCTTCAGGTTACCTCAGGATTTTCTTATTTTGCCCCAATTCATGTCTAAGTTGAGTGACTGAGTCACAGGCAAAGGGGACTCTGAGAACACTTGTCAGGTTACTGTCTGCAGCTCTGCGATTATAAATCCCTAAAATAACACGTTGCTTGAATCTAATTTGTATAGATTCAGTAGCTTGCATGGAAAGAACCAGCTGGGTGGGAGGCCTGTTGAATTTCTCTATTCCCTTGAGAAATAAAAGCCCAGAATTTCCATAGAGCAAATGAGTTGTGAGTTAATACAGCCCGATCAGTAGCAGCTCCCCACTGAGTGAGGAGGGGTGAGCCTGGGGGCAGGAGGGAACAAACTGTATCATAACTAAAGAGAGTACCAAGAGGCCTTGTTGTTTTCTGGTTTTTCCAGTATGGACCCCTGCCTCGGCAGGGGCAGGAATGCAAATCAGGTTTGCTACCTTCAGAGGTTCCGGAGAACAAGAGCCCGGCTGGTTGGGTTTCTTAGGTTGGTAGGATGGACACTGGACATTAAGTGCTAACGGGTTCTATATTTAAAATGATAGAGCACAGCAAGTCTTTAATAGACATGGCACAGTGTAATGGCCAACCAAGAAGTGAGGCCTGTCTCAGTAGGAAGTGCTGACAGGGCATCACACAAGGAAACCCATCTAGGGCAGAAGGGAGACGGGGAGATGGTGGGCGTTATTTCTAAGGTGAATGCATCTGTGTAATGACACATGTTTCAGGCAGAAATGAAAGACCCTGCACACAACAAAAGACGAGCCATAATGACAAGCAACATATTCCTCAGTTAGAAAGTAAGCAAGTAAATAACAACCCACACGTCTTAGAAAATAGGCAGAGGAGGACCCAGGCTTCACCAACACTTGTGAGCCGTTTGGGCCACATTTGCTTCCAACAGGACCTTCTCTCTTTTGAAAGTGTCGGGTAGAATCCTACGAGGATAAAGTCCACTCATTTATTTAAGTATGAATGAAGTTTTACCCACAGCAAAGGAAAAACCATGTGCTGTTCTTACAGAAAGAACACAATCCAACACTACATCTGAGCCCTGGGCTCTAGAAAGGAAACCTAGTGCAAATGGTATATTCTTGTGTGAGGACCATGAGAATTATAGTGTCACTCAAGATCCAGCCCGATCCAGGGGCTCACCTGCAGATCTTTGGAAGGTATACTGAGAACTGGCCACCTGCACTGAGCTTTCCCAAGGACCTTAGCAGCCTGACTGAAGCTATCTAGGCACCTGCAGCCTGGAAGAGATAGGCACTGAATTTGAGACCTGGTTATTTGACTGCCACACCAAACGGTGATATTGCCACTGTACCAGATCCACAAAGTATCTCTGCAGACTAGGTGACCATCTCCCGAGGGAGCCAGGACATGGAGAGCATCAGACACTGGAGTCAAGCATTGTGAGGTGTTGTGCTGCTTCTGCTCTCTTTGAAACAGAGAAAATCCCAGAGTCTTCTGCTCTGACCTGTTTGAGAAATCGTATTTCCAAAGTCGAGCGAATGTAGCATCTCTGCCTTCTCTCTGATATGCGTTAGTTAAAACAGTTTTAATGTGCTTAGGTTACCCAGCTCACGGCTGCTATTCCATGTATGTGACTGTTCAGTTCAAAACAAATTCTTGGGAAATTACTGCTGCCTTTATTTCTCCCCTTTCTCTTCCTGCCTCTTCCTCAGCCTATACTACCACATCTCTTTGTGTTTCCATTTGGCATTTAGTAACTTTGTGTTCATGGAAAATTTCCCAACATTAGTCGAAAATGCCAATTAAATAAAACATTTCCATGTTTGAAGCAAAACAGCAGAAGTTTCTTTCAAGAGGTTTGAAAGGAAATGGAATATCACAGCCTGCTTTTGAGACTCAGTTCCTTTTAAAAATCAGATCACGAGGTGGGAAGAAGGAACTCATAGACAGCCTTTAAACACTCTTTTCCTGAAAGATATTTTTGGCTACTAAATACTTCTGTTATGGTGCATGTGACAATGTGGAGAAAAAAAATGTGCCCCATCTCTCCAAAAGGGCTTCTGTTCTACTTCTCTGAAATCACAAAAGAGACATGCATTGTCTACAGAGGAATTGCATATATTTCTGAAAGCCTAATGTGATTAGAGCGATTTTAAGCAAATCTTAGATTTCATGAGCATGATTGTGCCGTGAGAAACAAACTCTATTCCTTGCAGCTCTGGATGGCAGCAGCCGCTCATGGAGAGGAGCAGACAACTTCTCTATGAGACAGAATTAATGCTAATATTCTTTTAAAATCAGAAATGATAAAGTGTCCTTTGATCATTGTAAATATGTCTGTGTTGATGTTGAAACATACAGGATCGCCCTGGTTAACACTGGGTGGTTTAGACAAATGAAGGAGTGGCATTGTGTTTGTATTGTACCAACAAAGTTTTTTTTTCTTCTTCCAGGTGTGTGTATGTGTGTGTGATGATAACACCCACAAATGCAGCCCTTAGGCTGAAGCAGGAGGATCATAAGTTCAAGGCCAGCTGGGGTTACATTGTGAGCTGGAGGTTAACCTAGGCTGTGAAGCAGGAACCTGTCTTGGGAAGAAGTGAGAAATAAGAAAGGAAAGAAAGAGGGTAGGGCATTGGGATGAAGCTTTAGACTGTCAGATACTATCCAATGAATACTGTATAAGTTGGAAAACACTGAAGGGAAATATACCTATCTATGGAAGCAGTTATGTGTAAGATGCTTCTAGACGCTGGGCACATATTCTGAGAAAGAGCCACTTTTCAGGATTCTTCTCATCACACATTTAATATAGGTTCAATAACAGACTTTTCCAAATCACTTTGCACCTCCCATGAGTTTGAACTGAGAACTTCAATAAGTCTGTACTTGTGGCTGCACTGAAATGTCACACAGAGGAAGGCAGGAGGGGTACTGCTTTCTCCTGCTGTGTCCCACCAATGGCCCCACCCACTTTTTATAGTCCCAATTCTAAGCTTCAGTCATCTGCTGTTTGCAATGTATAGTGCCTAAAACACAGTCATGCTAGTTATGTTAATCAGCACCACCCATCTGCTCACACTAAGAAATGTTATGGCTGTCCATGATGAACATCTTCACATACTGTACACGGGAAGTTGTTGGCACCTGCCCTTGCTCACTCCCTGAACAGTGGGCCATCCCATAATTCCTGGAACTTTTTATGACAGTGGGGAGTGAAGACTGTAGGGTGAAACCATTTCTGGTGAAATTCGATCATCTCCAGTAACTTGGACCGTTTTATGTGCTCTAAGCTGGGAACAAAGATGCGTTAGTGTTATCCCAAAGGTGGATATGGACAGTGAGGTCTCTAAGCTTCCTATGGTCATTGTTTTATTTGTTTCAACATTGATGGTTTTCATTTATAATAGAAAACATTTAATACATGACAGGTCAAAGTTATTTTTTAAAAACATTCTATAGTTTAATCCTGATCATTTCTTTTTGTTCGTTTTCTTTTACCTTTAGATCACAATAGAAAGTTAACTCTGCCAGACTGAGGGCTCTCACTTCTCTCTGCCACTGAGTTGCAAGTTAGTTCTAGCACACGGGCATTGAAAGTGGCTTTCCATGAAAACTACTGGCAACCACTTTCTGGCTTTAGAATGCATTTTTAAAATGAACCCTTTCATTGTGTATTTTTTTTGTAGAGTCTAAGAGATGATATGGAAGAGCCTCATGCACATATATATGAAAAAAACCATGGATCAAGTCCTATATCAAATCCAAATTGCTCTCAGCCACATGCCAGATAAGTAACACCAAGAATGGGGTCAATTGAAGAGAAGCCCTGTGAGTAGAAACAACACTGTGCTATCCCTTGAGAGAACTTGTGTCAAATAGCATACTGGAAGCAAGAACGTTCTTCCTCAGTGCTTAGATACAGATATTTCATTCTCCCAAATGAGTCTCATTTACATTATCCATTTTAAAATTCTGAATCTTTCTAAGATTTTGTTTTTAATTACTTCTATCAGAAAATGTAAAAGCTACAACACAATGCCCATCTATCCTAGGATGTAACGTCCAAGAAATGGAGGTTATTAGAGGCATCATTGAAAGGAAACATTCAAAAACACTTATCTTGGATTTTTCTTTTCTCCTCTAATGGATACATGGCCGGGTCCATGTAATTATAGCCAATCAGATCTGAGACAGTAAATTCAGTTATTCTGATCTATGGCAACTGTCTTCCAGAAACTATGGAGTGCATTTGTGTCTTCTTGGACAGATGAAGGGATGCACATTTACAGTAGCATCTCCTGGCTGCATGCAGTCTCTGGAATCCGTGTGTGTGTGTGTGTGTGTGTGTGTGTGTGTGTGTGTGTGTGTGTGTGTGTGTGTGTGTGTGTGTGTGTGTGTGTGTGTGTGTGTGTGTGTGTGACCAGGGGCCTTGTTTTCTACTCCCATCTCCATAGAAGACAACCAAAGACTCAATTCATTTAACCACTGCTGACGAAAGTTCAAAGTGGAGAACTCCCTTGCATGGGCCATCTGACTCGGCCATTCTTCCAGATCTGAAAATAGGAGATTGCCAAATCTCAGCTGCAGGTCATGTCCATGAAAACTGGTCAGACAGGACTTTTCTTAGAGACGCTACATCAAAGATTGGCATCTTATCAAGGAAATTTTGATATTTAGCCAAGAACAAAAAGACCAGGATAATGATTATGACATTACATACATTCAAATCTTTAGGGAAAGAGGCCTGGGGTATTGTTCATATTTCATGTTCAAGTAACTATATAGGATTGAAAAATAGATCACATTTTTTAATGTGGTTGTTTGAGTCTGTCTTTTAATTATGTTTATTGGGTCCATATTTAAAAAACTGCTTAAACTTTTCTGGCACCCAACAAAAACATCTGTTGTTTTATCGTGCTGATTCAGAAGGCATCAGAGGAAATAATATAAAAGAGAGCATGCAGTGTGGAGAAATTACTGAGAAAGGAAGATGCAAAAGTCTTGGCTTCCTGCTTGGATGGCATGATGAGCTCACTGGGTAACTTCATGAACTTGACTTTGTGAACACTTGGAGGACAGCAAGGGAATCGGGAAGGACCATCCCCATAACTCCCAGGAAGTCCTTTCAGTGTGAGAATCAACCATTCTGCAGTTGACACTGTGTTTTAAACCCTTTTCATTTTCATAGTGGAGCCAGGGGAGAAAGAAGTTGTGTTCTTTCAAACAATACAAAACCAAGAAATGGAGGTGCCACTGATGTCTTAACTAGACAATAATTTCAAGGTGAACATTATAGGTCAAACATAATGTATTCCCTCACAAAAGACTAGAAAGGCTGTAACTTTCCATAGAAGGTGACTGGGTCAGAGGTCAGAGGTAGCATTTACTTTATGGGTTACTACAATGAATTTAACAACTGATGGTTTTTCTTTGATCAGGTCATAAGTATTTGCTTGAAAATAGAAATTCTACATACAGAAGGGTCATCTTCTATGATGACCCTGATTCACATACCACAGAGTATTGTGGTCCACTGGGTGTGTTTCCGTACACAAGCCGTATTCAGTGGTGTAACATCATCTCTTTCTTCCGAGTGCTTGATGCAGTATGAATGTCTCTCATGTGCAGAGTTAAGTAGCCAGAGAGGACAGACTTTGAATGATGCAGGATCAGGTGGTTTCCTAGGAAACCAGAGCCTCCTACACACCCCGACAGCAACCTGATTCCAAGTAGACGGCGGCCTCTAAGCTCAGAGAGGTTCTGGATGGCATGGGACCCATTTAGGGCAATGGAGCAGTTTCTGCTTCCAGATTTTCTAGCTGAAAGAAGAGAAAGAGCAAAGACAGTGAGAATTGGGGACTGGTCAGTGAATCATAAGTTTTTATGATATCTTCAGTATGTAAGACTGTACCAAACACTGTCGTGCGTATCTTCATCTGCAACCCATTTTTGTTAAGTACTCAGGCATTAATATTTTAGTTATTATAAATGTCTCTTAGGTCATTATAAATATGTTTTTTTTTTTTTTTTTGGTTTTTCGAGACAGGGTTTCTCTGTGTAGCTTTGCGCCTTTCCTGGAACTCACTTGGTAGTCCAGGCTGGCCTCGAACTCACAGAGATCCGCCTGGCTCTGCCTCCCGAGTGCTGGGATTAAAGGCGTGCGCCACCACCGCCCGGCCTATAAATATGTTTTTGTATATACTACTTATTATAAAGCTGTAACTGATGGTTTTCTTAAAAATTTTTATTTATGTTTCTTAGCTAGAATTTTATTCAGTAACCCATGCTGAGCTTAAATTTGAGATCCTCCTTCCTCAGCTTCTTGAGTGCTAGGATTGCTGAAATGTGCCACTATGGTAGGCCTTAGAAAATAAATTTTAAATAAAATTCTTTCTCTTGCTCTATTTACCTTTTCTTTTCCTGTTACGTCATTAATGACTGGACCAAAATCTCAAAAAGAAATTGAGTAACTTTCTTTTACAATTTATTTCTAGATGAAAACATTTTTTTTTTAATTTTTCAACCAATTATTACAATTTCTTTCTTTTTTCTGTCTGAAGTGTTGGGTGTGGAGTACATTGGCATTCAGCTCCCACTGCGAAGCATGTCCATTGAGCAGTAACACAAATTCTGCCCGGGTATGTGAGAATGTCGTGTGGCCTTATCCAATAAGCTAAGAGGATTATGAGAACGGAATGTCTTGCAATGAAGCAAGTTATTGTTTTTCCTGCTGTTGTAGCTGGTGAGGTATGAAGGTGTTTGCATGGTAAGTACAAAGGGTTGCAAGGGTTTTTACAAAAATTAATGTGTTTGAGTAAGTTTCAAACTTCAGGAAAGGTGCAAGAGTTGAATGGCACAAAAGATGTTTGTTCACTGGTTACACAGATTCATCTGTTAACAGTCATCCCACAGGCTTTCTCTCCTTTTGTCTCTTCTCATCCATATGCATGTTTTTGTGTACACACACACACACACATTCACACACACTATATTTTTAACCCGTTTAATGTCATGCCAGTATGTATTTCCTAAGAACAAAGACCAGATCAGATTGATGTCATCATCAGGTGTGGCTGCCCATCATGGACCACAAGTCACTGAACACTGCTGATGCTTATACCAGAATACAGCCTTCCCTGAACTGACCTTTTCTGTGACTTGTCACACAGGCTGCTGAGACGGCACAGGAAAATACAGTCCTGACCACTGTGTTGGTGCTTGATCTTGAGGAGGCTTGGTTATTGCTCCCTCAGGTGCTGAGACTTTAGCTTTGGGTCTGCCAACTGTGACAGAACCCACTGTGTGTATAGCTGCCATCTGGGCTCTTTGCATTACCCTGTGGGATTTGTGGATAGAGGCAGTGGCACCGACATGCTCACGCTCTGTTGTTTGCTGTACTGGGATAGCTGAGTCTTACTATCTTCTTGCTCCAATCTGTAGAGTGACTGCAGTGAGGCCACCTTCTCGCTCAGTCATCTCCTTTTGAGTCTTGTTCCTTTTTGCCATCTTTGAAGAAGTTGGGATTCAGCGCCAAAGTGGTACAAAAATTCAGGATGTCAAGGTAGGTGAAGAATTTTTAAAATAGAGGAAAGGCAAAGGTTCATGGTCTGTGTTCAGGCACATTTGGAAATTTTCTGTGGCTGGTAGAAATGTGGTGTAGGAGAAGGCAATGGATGGTCCACCTCTGTCCTACCTCTAGATAAAAATGAGTTGGGGCCGGGCGGTGGTGGCGCATGCCTTTAATCCCAGCACTCGGGAGGCAGAGCCAGGTGGATCTCTGTGAGTTCGAGGCCAGCCTGGGCTACCAAGTGAATCCCAGGAAAGGCGCAAAGCTACACAGAGAAACCCTGTCTCGAAACCCCCCCCCAAAAAAAAAATGAGTTGGGATAATGTATGGAGGCTGACAAGAGAGGGGTAAAATTTAACAAGTGTTTGTATTTGCCACCTGGGGGAACATACTATGAATTTTTATCAGGAAAACCTAGACCTAAGTTACAAGTAGGAAGATCTGAAGGGCAGCATGTCCCCAGAGAAAGTGTCATGGTACAAGCCAGTATTGATAGAGAAAGGAAGAGAGAATAGGAATGCTTTAATAGGATATGCCCTGTGGGCTGTTGGCTTTCCATCATTGTGAGGATGGTTGGGCAAAGGTTATGCTTTTACATGGCCACCAGAAACACACAGACTACCTCCCCCAAGACCCTATGTTTAAGGAGAATGACTATTATCACCAGGACAGATTCATTTCTCACAATGAAGATGACTGTTGATGACTATTCTGAATTTCTGTTTTAGTCACTACCTATGATCAACATGAGAAGACTTCTCTGCATGATTCCATGAAGAAGCTATTCAAAATGTGAAGACTGGTAATTCTTACAACTCACTTCGTGCTGAATGGAAAGACCTTCCCTCCTTAGGAGTATAACTACTGAGTTTACAAAATTGCCCTTCTGTCTGAAAAGTCAAATCCTTCACAAAACCATTCTTGCTAGGAGATCTTACACTGACAGTGTGCTTACTTACGCCATAAGCTGTCTAGGAGAAGAGGCACCACTCTCTAAGTCATGGGACACGCCTGAAATCCCAAAACAGAGCCAGAATGGGAAAAACCAACCCATTATAAAAACATCCAAGGCAAGATGGGTATGCCCATGAAGACTAGGATACCCAAAGAAGAGTCAATTTGGACAATCACCAGAGAAGCTTGGTCCAAACATCAAGCCATGACACTTGATCTCTGAGAAAAGGAAGATGTTGTCACAGGTTAAAATCTTGCTTCTATGGAACACAGTTCTCTTGTGGGGATTACCAGAAGAGCTAGGGGAACGTGAGTGGCTGTCTTAGAGCAATTGCTTCTTTATAGCCTTTCTTGCCTGATCTTGGGAGACCAGAGGGCTCATCCCATGAAATGTACAATAGATATGGGCAAGAGGGTTTAGGGTGAATATGAACTCTATCTCTTTTTGAAATATACCTGGTCACTAAGCACTGGGTTGTCTTGTATGGCTAGGGTCATGCACTTAATCAGACAGACTTTAAATCATTTGATAGGACATGGAGTCATTGTGAACATGAGTGAGGCTGATTGGACCTTTGGCTAGGCACCACTGTCTCTTTTTCTACTGATAATTGACATGCTTGTCTTGTGAGTACTTGTGATGTTCAAGCAGGGAGATTTTCCTCTTCTGTAAGAACCATTTGTAGAGAGATGATTGTGGGAGATGTGCAAGGAGATCATAGCTCATCTTTCAGTTCCCTTCTATGTTTCAAAGGGAAACAATTCAGAATTCTAGGAAGAGAATAGGAAACCACAGCCTTGATGAAAGGATGCTAACCCAACAAGACTAATGAAAAATGCAACATCTTGAAATAATCATGCTGTGTGGTCAGTGACAAAAGCTAATGGGATCTGGAGGCTTACAGTGGACGGTCGCCAACTGAATTCAGTTAACGTGGTAGCACTGGCTGCTCCAGTCTATAGCCTGCAGTCCTGGGCACTGTAATTGTAAATGAATCAACTGACTGTGACAGCACACGCTATGCCATGTTGGACTTGGGTCTTAGTTACTATTTTTCTGTTGCCATGAAGAGACCACAGTAACTTATAAAAGAAAGCATTTATTGGGGGTTTGGTTATAGTTTAGAGGGTAAGTCCATGACCATCATGACAGGAAGCATGGCAGCAGGCAGGCAGGCATGGCACTGGAACAGTAGCTGAGAGCTCACATCTGATCTACAAGCAGGAGGCAGAGAGAGAGAAAGAGAGAGAGAGAGAGAGAGAGAGAGAGAGAGAGAGAGAGAGAGAGAGAGAGAGAGACATAGACACAGACACAGGCACAGACAGAGAGACAGAGACAGAGAGAGACAGACAGATGATAGATAGATAGATAGATAGATAGATAGATAGACAGACAGACAGACAGATAGATAAATAGACACTAGGCTTTTGAAATCTTGTAATCTGAAAGCCCATGCCAGGGAGACACCCCCCTCCAAGGTAACATACTTCATAATCCTTCCCCCAAGCCATTCTATCAACCAGGGACCAAGCATTCAAATATATGAGCCTATGGGGGCTGCTCTTGTTCAAACCACCACAACTTTCATCTTGTATTTTTCTTAATCCTATTGATCACCAACGATGATTCTTTCCCTGACCCAAGACTCCAAATTACGTTGTTGTACAGCCCAAACACCAGAGTTACAGACAACTGTGAGTCACTCCATGTGTGCGCTAGGAACTGACTCAGGTCCTCCGCAAGAGCAGTAAAAGTACATGACCTTAGCCTTTCAGCCATCTCTCCCCAGCCCCGGAAGTAGTTTGAATTCTCCTGCTATTTGCCACCATATGGGAGAATCAAAACACAAGTCACCATTACATTGATGATTTTGTATTCATAGGCCCCCAGTAAATGGTCTTGGGAAGCTCATTAACTCTGGTAAGACACAAAGATCAAACATTGATGTTGAAGACCTTAGAAAAAATATGGTCCAATCCTAGAGACCTTGGCTTGCCCCTATCAGAAAGGAAGCCTGGCATTGAGAGGGACTGTTTCAGGTGTTATCTGTGCATCCATTCTGTTGGATTAAATGAGAATTTCATCAAATTTGGCTGGAAACTTAAGCAGCAGGTGGCATTGAAAGCTATCTCAATAGATTAGCCAGAAGCCCCCTTTTGAATTGCAGGTCTCTGGGAATGGAGTCAGCCCCTAACCAGCAATACCCTTTGGGCTGTAAACTCCTATACCCTGACCCCTGACACTAACCACTTCAATGGTGGAAGGAACACCTTCGACCCTGGAGGTAGAGGGAGGAC